ACTAGGGGCTCCTGGCCTTACTACTAGGAGCAAGAAGCTACTAGGGGTCCTGGCATCGCTACTAGGAGCAAGGAAGCTACTAGGGGCTCCTGGCCGTACCACTAGGAGCAAGAAGCTACTAGTAGCTCCTTGACATGCTTTCGTTCTCTTTTATAGGAGTGGGTACCCCCTATAGGAGTGGGTACCCCCCAACACCCCTGGGCCCTTTCACCGCCCACTCCGCTTAACCCGGTTCTGAGGAGATATCGACAAGTGGCCAATGGCCTGAGAATGAAGAGGATGCAGATGAAGAATCTTTGGCCAAAAGCCAGCTGATATGCTTAATGGGAGTGGGGCTGCCTGTGTTAGATAGCCAATTCGCACTTGGCAAAGGAGCCTGAGCTTGGTGGCATGCCTTTGTATCTATGGGCGCTGCAAATCGCCTTTCCACATCCAGACGCGGATGGGAATAATTCTGCCCTCAAGGACACACATTTCGATTCAAGACGGTTTGAACACTGGGCGGTGATGGACATGGATGCAGTCTCAAGCTTCTTGCTAGGGCCACGTAGCTGCTGAGATTCCAGAGCCCACGATGTTCCTGGGATTCTTTAGCAGTTTTCTTCATTTCCGGTGTATGATGGTGTTTGTCATGTCCGTTTCCACCAAGCTGAATCTTTTGTTCAAATCCTGACCAACCATGCGAAGGTTTGAAGATTTTCGGGCGAAGCTGAAATGGACTATTCCAGAAGCATCGGATGAAACAAAAGCGGTTGATGAAGCTTATGGCTGGATGCATCAATCTCCAATGAACATTGGTGATCATGCTGAATCATGCTCCTCAAAGCTTTCCTCCGCACAGGTACCGGCGGTGGCTTTAATGCACTGTGGGTATGCAGTGCTTTATCTCCATTTTTTTCTGACACAGGCAGGCCCTGTGTATTTATTTTGGACACATGACGGAACTTGTGACGGATCAGCAGCGCCTTCTGCAGTTATATAAGTTGGCATCAGTTGGCTCAAGAACAGCAAGGTGTTTTAAGCATGGTGGCTCAGAGCAGTGTTGGGCGGGTGTGGTTCAGAGGTTTAAAGTCGCAGTAGACATCAAGCATCGCTTGAGGTTGAGAAGATTGTTGTTTTCGCACAGAATTACCTATACTATATATTTTATATACTTACTGTACGGTAAATATCACATTATATAGTATATAAATGCAAAGTTCAGTTCAGATGTTAGTTGACTGCACGCGTGCGCGCTTTACGCACAACCCTGCTGTTTCACTTGATCCATACTGGAGCTATGTTGGTGGTTTGATCTTGCCATTTGCACCAGCTGCTTGCAGGGGGCCCAGAAACCATGTGAGTGGGAAAAAAACGCAAGATGTGCATATGTAGTGGGCGATCCCAGGGGTCAGAATTAGCTGCACCGCCGCAACTATTTCTGTTGGCTAACTGAGTTTGAAAGTGATGCATTTAGCTTGGAAAGGACATTCCGAACGACATCTAAACGACATACTCAGTCTATATAGATATAGAATGAGATAGACATTCCATATACTGTATATGTTATTATGAAAGCCAGCCGATAGGCTAGGCTGGAGTTGTCGATGGGCGAACGAAGTGAGTATTAGGGGGTGTTGGGGGTCGAATCTGCTAGGGCGAGCCCAGCCCCCAGGCTGGACCATCACATGATCATCAACCACTCTTAGCAGCACGCCAAGATTATGAGTCCATCTACAAGACACGAGGGCAAGTGCCCCTCGATTACTTAGGGTCCCCATTTCTCTCTTCAAAGCGCCCCGGGAATCAAAAGAAAAAGGGCAGGCCCACCTGTGACTGAGAGACTTCCCACCTCTTCCCCATGCCTCACAACGCTTCCAGTGCGTGTTACATATGACCATACCGATGTCTTCTTCAGAGGCTTGCTTTCGTCCCCTCCCTTCTCAGGTATGTTACATATGTGTATCCATGATGGTATTTGTATTTTTTCACTTTTCTTGTGGGTGACTTGAACATTTTTGAACGACATCCGAAACGACATCTGAACGACGTCAGTACTTACAGTGACTAGTTGACCAGATGGTTCTGTTCATCATGTAACAAGCAGCATAGTTAGCACAGATCCTAGCACAGCGTCAAGTGCATATAACATCATATAACAGGATGTTGCGATTTTGTTTGATTCATGTGAGAGATTCTTGGCCGGCTTCACGTCGAAGTAGTTTCAAGGTTCATGGCTTGCGGCCGCCATGAGCGTGGTGAGCTGCAAAGAGTGTTCCAAGTGACATGAACCAGTGGCAGCGTTCTGTTGTTTACTTCTTTGAGGCTTCAGAGGAATCCGTGAGCTCTCAGCTTTGGCCAGGTCCCTGGGGAAGCGTGTTCCATTCCATGTTCATTGTGCTTCTCAGTCAAGAAGGCTTTGAGCTGCCTGGGTGGATGCTGGAATCTTCAGTTCCGGTGCTTCTCCCCGGTTTCGCTCAGGAGAAATTCAGCACCTTATATAGGTTGAAATATTTTCCCGTGTAGCCGCGTAGAAGATTGAATCTCGCGTGTGCAGGATCTCGCGTCAAGATTTTCATTCGAGGCATGTTGGCCAATGGACGGCCAAGCGGAAGAGCTTTGAAGCTTTCTTAGCCAGCTGGGGCCTCAAAAAGGTCACAGCCCTCATAGCCTGGCACAGTACCTGAGAAGGATCAGAGTTGAGAAATGATTGCAGAGCAAAGGCCTTGAACATCCACGGGTTCGTGCGATGCTCGGAATTTGTTGCAGCTGGATTCCCTTCTCTCCCGAGAAGTGATGCAATAAGTTGGTTTGCGGCAACTTTGTTGTTGGCCAATTCAAGCTCGCACACAGTTGTTGACATGGCACCATGGAAATCTGCGCTTGAGCAAGGGCTGTTTTGACAATGAATCTTGCATAGATTCCCAAGATTTTGCTGCAAACAAGGAACACCGCACGTTCAGTCAACCTTTTTCCACACAGCCGCATGGGGTCAACAATTTAGATTGCCAGACTTTTCTAATGAGGCCAAGGTCAGTGCCAGATTCAGATCACACCAGATCCATCACAGCCTTTGGTGTCGCCATGGGGCTGCATTGAAAATGGCCTATCTGAACGTGCAAATCAGAGGATGATGCCACTCGAAGCGTGCCTTAGCACATGACTGATGATGCGGACCGGTGCGACGATCTAGACACTCCAGAAGCTCCAGCTTCCCGTGATTTGTTACTTGGAATTCGTCGTGAAGGAGACCCAGGATACGACTCTTGTCATCACAGGTCATAACAACATCAGGCTCACGACTCACAACATGACCCATAGATCTTCAAAAGCACGGTAATGGTTCCATGTTTCATTTTTTTGGCACCTTAGGATGATGCCTGGCATCGTCGCTTCAGCAAGCTGCGAATGGCTGCCATTGACCTTTGGTCGCTGATGGTTGTCGCTGATTGTTGCGAGGTGCTGCCAGAGCTGTGAGTTTGTGTGTTCCGTGATGTTCCGTGTGGCGACGCCTTTCTGTCCGAGGAATCCTACTTGGCTCAGTCAGACTCCTGGCACTATATCCCCAGCTTGAAGCGTTACCGGGAGGTGCCCAAGCTTCAACGAATGCCGGTAGCTAAGGCAGGGAAGAGAGGTAACGAGTTAATTATAGAAGAAGTGAATTCAGAACACGAGGCACCGAGTACGTATCAGTTTTGTAGATCAAAAGATTCAGGTCAAGGAAGCATGAGGAAAACTATAGGAAGCATTAGGAAGTTACATTATTTATCAACGTTTTTTCTTGTTGATTTTCTCTTGGGTGATTTTAGGGATCCTAGAATCCTAAAATGTCCTACAGAGAAAACTTAAGCCTTGAAGCAATAATAAAACCTTCCTCGCAGTTCCTTCACGCAGGCCTTCGCACAACAATTGGCTCGAATGATGTGCGCCGTTGAGAGGCCGGTCATTTGCATTGAGAGGCAGGGGGCACGAACGGGTGTGAACGGGTACCATCCATGTGGAGCAGTCCAGCGTGGCGCTTCATGTCGGCAGGCCTTACCTGGAGGGTTTCATCGCAGGATTTCATGACGCTGCAATTTCATCAAACTTTGTCTTATTGGTGGTCAATGGGGGTGATGCACCACTGACGAGCGACTTGCAAGATCAGCCCTTGGGCCAAAGTCATTGTATTCCCAGCACTCCTTATTTCCCCCTTTGCCCTTCAGTGATCTTGGGGCGATCTAAGGATACTGCGCCTGCCAGGGCTGCAAGGATGCTTCGCCAACAACCTACATACTACCAGGACCACATCTGCAATTTTTCATCAGTCCCTGCTGAGTGCTGGATCTAACAATGCCTCGCACTCTGCAGGCATGCGAAGCTCTTCCATCCATTGCCACTAGGTCACTAGGCAGCGTTTGCTTGACATTTGCATGGCTGCAAATGGCTTCCACGATTTCCATCATACTAATTGTGTCGGAAAGCAAACGTGGTGTCCAATAGAGTGTTGTGAGGCTTGACTGCGGAAGATTTGCTGGAGCAGGTGAGGCTGAGAGCACCTCCGTGGGAGGAGCGCGACCAACGTTTGCTGGTGACACCCATGAGGTGGGATTTAGCCGGGCTTTCTACACCATGTGCATACAAATGCATGTTGCTGTATGATTTACTTACACCTTGTCAATCTCTTCCTCGCCGTCTCTCTCTCTCTCTCTCTCTCTTTGTTCATTGTTTATAGTGAAGTTTCTACAGATAGAATATGGACTAATTACAAAAAGCTAATTATATAGTCTATATTCTATCTCCTGGATCGACATTTTGCCCGGGGGAACAGATAGAATATAAATTTATGGAAATCATAGCTTTTATCATGATTTTTAGACTTAGCCAAACAACGATGACAATCAAAGCTCAAGCATGTGCATGCACAATGTGCATCCAGCAGGTTTAAGTAATGATTGTCAAGCAGGTTTTGCACATAGAATTTGGATTCAATCAAAGATAAACTATATGTATTCTTGATTTTGGAGACATCATCATTTTTATGATTAATGTTGAAAATATCTAAACAACGGTGACAATCAAAGCTCGAGCATGTGCATGCACAATGTGCATCCACAGGTTTAAGTAATGATTTTCAAGCAGGTGCTGCACATAGAATATGTGATGACACAGTTGTGTTGATATACCAGTGCTTTAGCTTCGCGTGGCAATGGCGGGGACCAACATTTTTGTATATATATATAATAATGCTATACATTCTATCTGCAACATTGCAGGTGATCTAGCAGTTTGCGATGCATCCAAGAAATTGGAGAAGGACAACATCCTAGATTATGATGATGAGCAGTTTTTTCAAGACATTCAACCAGAAGACCACGAATTCAATGATCCAATGATGAAGGCAGCTGGCAATCACTCCGATGAAGATCTCGATCCGGCCCTTCATAGTGGTTGGTTGTTTGTGGACAGCGATAGCGATGATGGCGAGCCATAGCGATGATAGCGTGTGGTTACCGTCATCCGCACAACACTTTAGACCACGCGAACTCCTTTCTCACGGAAATCTTCCAAGCGCAGCGAGGCCATTGGCTCTTCGCCTGTGACTGGAACGCAAATCCAGAGCAGGGCTCTTTCGCTTCAACGGTCCAAAACCTCGGAGGCATCCTGGTGGGATCTTCCGGACACCTCAGAAGTACAACGGATACAGATTCTGCTTGGTGCTCGATGTCTCTTCAAGCTTCCAAGCTGGAGCACTTGACGCCGGTTTCAGACCACTTTGGTTCACTTATCGAACTTCATTTTTTACGAATGCCTCACAGCGCACCTACGTGGTGTTTCCACGACACTGCTCCTTTCAGAAGCTATGACGATCTACACAAAGCCCTTGTGTCGGATGAGGACTGGCACCAAAGTGCACTATCGCAACAACGATGGTCTGAACTTGTCCAA